GAAACTAGGAGAGCTGCCAGGCTGGATACTGATCTGGGATTTCATCCCTTAGGGCATTTTTGGAGCATTTCAAAGAGGTTACTACCGGTATTACAACAAGTATTCAATGTGAAGTAGGGGTCGTCACTGGGATTTCTATGGTACTGGCTGCTTATGTGCTGTTGAACTACTTTTGTTCTTACAAGGAGCTCAAACAAAACAGCTACGCAAGTACCACTGAAGAGGGCCCAGTGTGGAAGCACATTTGGCATTCCTGACCATGACTTTTGCCTGGCATCCTTGAATCCTTCCATTACCTAATTCACAATTATTATCCAATAAAAGTTGACTGTTGAAAAGAAAAAGATGCTAGCCAATAGGATCCAACAGTACATTAAGAAGATTATTCACCATGACCAAGTGGGATTTATCCCCGGTATACAAGGCTGTTTCAATACTTGTAAAACAATTAATGTGACAGATCACATCAATAAGAGAAAAAAGCAAGAACCATATGATCCTCTCAATATATACAGAGAAAACATTTGACAAAATACAGCATCCATTCCTGATCAAAACTCTTCAGAGTGTAGGGATAGAGGGAACATTCCTCAACATCCTAAAAGCCATCTCTGAAAAGCCCACAGCAAACATCATTCTCAATGGGAAAACACTGGGAGCCTTTCCCCTAAGATCAGGAACACGACAGGGATGTCCACTCTCGCCACTGCTATTCAACATAGTACTGGAAGTCCTAGCCTCAGCAATCAGACAACAAAAAGAAATAAAAGGCACTCAAATTGGCAAAGAAGAAGTCAAACTCTCCCTCTTTGCATATGACATGGTACTATATATATAGAAAACCCAAAAGGCTCCACCCCAAGATTGCTAAAACTCATACAGCAATTCGGCAGTGTGGCAGGATACAAAATCAATGCCCCGAAATCAGTGGCATTTCTATACACTAACAATGAGACTGAAGAAAGAGAAATTAAGGAGTCCATCCCATTTACAATTGCACCCAAAAGCATAAGATACTTAGGAATAAACCTAACCAAAGAGGTAAAGGATCTATACTCTAAAACCTACAGAACACTTCTGAAAGAAATTGAGGAAGACACAAAGAGATGGTAAAATATTGCACGCTCATGGATTGAAGAATTAACATTGTGAAAATGTCAACACTACCCAGGGCAACTGACACATTTAATGCAATCCCTATCAAAATACCATGGACTTTCTTCAGAGAGTTAGAACAAATCATCTTAAGATTTGTGTGGAATCAGAAAAGACCCTGAATAGCCAGGGGAATATTGAAAAAGAAAACCAGAGCTAGGGATCCCTGGGTGGCGCAGCGGTTTAGCGCCTGCCTTTGGCCCAGGGCGCGATCCTGGAGACCCAGGATCGAATCCCACATCGGGCTCCTGGTGCATGGAGCCTGCTTCTCCCTCTGCCTGTGTCTCTGCCTCTCTCTCTCTCTCTCTCTGTGTGACTATCATAAATAAATAAAAAAATTAAAAAAAGAAAAAAAAAAGAAAACCAGAGCTAGTGGCATCACAATGCCGGATTTCAAGTTGTACTACAAAGCTGTGGTAATCAAGACAGTGTGGTACTGGCACAAAAAACAGACACAGAGATCAATGGAACAGAATAGAGAACCCAGAAATGGGCCCTCAACTCTATGGTCAACTAATATTCGACAAAGCAGGAAAGACTATCGACGGAAAAAAGACAGTCTCTTCAATAAATGGTGTTGGGAATTTGGACAGCCACGTGTAGAAGGAAACTAGACCATTCTCTTAAACCATACACAAAGATAAACTCAAAATGGATGAAAGATCTAAATGTGAGACAAGATTCCATCAAAATCCTAGAGGACAACACAGGCCACAACCTTTTAGAACTTGGACACAGCAACTTCTTGCAAGACACATCTATGAAGGCAAGGGAAACAAAAGCAAAAATGAATTATTGGGACTTACTCAAGATAAAAAGCTTCTGCACAGCAAAAGAAACAGTCAAGAAAACTAAAAGACAACCTACAGAATGGGAGAAGATATTTGCAAATGACGTATCAGATAAAGGGCTAGTATCCAAGATCTATAAAGAACTTATTAAACTCAACAGCAAAGAAACAAACAATCCAATCATGAAATGGGCAAAAGTCAGGAACAGAAATTTCACCAAAGAAGACATACACATGGCCATCAAGCACATGAGAAAATGCTCCGCATCCCTTGCCATCAGGGAAATACAAATCAAAACCACAATGAGATACCACCTCACACCAGTGAGAATGGGGAAAATTAATAAGACAGGAAACAACAAATGTTGGAGAGGATGTGGAGAAAGGGGGACCCTCTTTCACTGTTGGGGGGAATGTGAACTGGTACAGCCACTCTGGAAAACTGAGTGGAGGTTCCTCAAAGAGTTAAAAATAGAGCTACCCTATGACCCAGCAATTGCACTGTTAGGGATTTACCCCAAAGATACAGATGCAGTGAAACGCCGGAACACCTGCACCCCAATGTTTCTAGCAGCAATGTCCACAATAGCCAAGCTGTGGAAGGAGACTCGGTGTCCACTGACAGATGAATGGATAAAGAAGATGTGGTTTATGTATAACAATGGAATATTACTCAGCCATCAGAAACGACAAATACCCAACATTTGCTTCGACGTGGATAGAACTGGAGGGTATTATGCTGAGTGAAGTGAGTCAATTGGAGAAGGACAAACATTATATGGTCTCATTCATTCGGAGAATATAGAAAATAGTGAAAGGATTATAGGGGAAAGGAGAGAAAATGAGTGGGAAATATCAGAAAGGGTGACAGAACATGAGAGACTCCTAACTCTGGGAAACGAACAAGGGGCAGTGGAAGAGAGGTGGGCATGGGGATGGTGTGACTGGGTTTCGGGCACTGAGGGGGGCACTTGATAGGATGAGCTCTGGTTATTATGCCATATTTGGCAAATCGAACTCCAATAAAAAAAATATACAAAAAAAGACATATGGATTGATAGAAAAGGACAGAGGGACCAGAAATAAAGCCACACACATATAGTCAATTAATTCACAACAAAGGAAGCAAGGATATATACAATGGAGGAAAGACAGTCTCTTTAATAAATGGTGTGGGAAAACTGGACAGCTACTTGCAAAAGAAGGAAACTGAACCAATACCTCACACCACATACAAAAATTAACTCAAAGAAATTGAAAAATTGAAAGTAAGACCTGAAACCATAAAACTGCTAGAAGAAAACACAAGTCATAAGCTCCTCAACATTGGTCTTAGCAGTTTTTTTTTCTTAGGATGACTACAAAGGGCAAAAAAAAAATAAAAATAAACAAGTGGGACTATATTAAACTAAAAAGTTCTGCAGAGCAAAGGAAACTATCAACAAAATGAAAAGGCAACTTACTGAACAAAAGAAGGTATCTGCAAATCATACATCCAATAAGGGGTTAATATCCAAAATTTATAAAGAACTCCTATAACTCAATAACAAAAAAATCCAACTTAAAATTAGGCAGAGAATCTAAGTAGACAGTTTCCCAAAGACATACAGATGGATAACAGGCACATGAAAAGAAACTCAACATCATTAATCATTGGAAATGCAAATCAAAACCACAATGAGTTATCATCTCAAACCTGTCAGAATGGGTATTTTCAAAAATAACATGTTGGAAAGGATGTGGAGAAAAAGAGAACCCTCATGCATTGTTAGTGGGAATGTAAATTGGTGCAGACACTGGAAAACAGTATGAGGATTCCTCAAAAAATTAAAAAAAGAACAGTCCAGCAATTCCACTTTGGGGTATATCTAAAGAAAATGAACACTGGTTTGAAAAGATATAAACACCTCTATGTTCCTTTCAGCATATTTATAATAGCCAAGATATGAAAACAACCTAAGTGTCCATCTATACATGAATGGATAAAGAAGATATGGTATACACACACACAGACACACAATGGAATTCTACTCAGGCATATTAAAGAATGAAATCTTTCTGTGACACTAAAGAACCTTGAAGACACTTTGCTAAATGAAATGATTCAGACAGAGAAAGACAAATACCAATGATTTCATTTATAAGTGAAATCTAAAATACAAAACAAACTAACGAAACCAAACCAAACCCCGTCTCACAGATAAGGAGAACAGAGTGGTGGGGGCCAAGGGGGTATAGAGTTGGAGGAGGGGACAAGATGGGTGAAGGCGATCAAGAGGTAGAAACATTCAGTTATGAAATAAGTCCATGGGATGTAATGTACAGCACACGGAATACAGTCAATATTATTTTATTAACTTTGTATGTTGACAGATGGTAACTAGTATTATGGTGGCGATCAAGATTAATTTGCAATGTATACAAATGCTGAATTACTATGTTGTACACTTGAAACTAAAAGAACATTATATGTTAATTATACTTCTATTTAAAAAACTGTAAAAAGAGGATATATTCCTTTTAGAGATTTACTGTTCATCATTCCACTCCTGCCATAGTCTCAGAAGATCCTATACTGAAATTAAAGTGCTTCATAGAATATAAGCATGCATACACATACAATTCCTAAGAACTATGGCCATATCTACAACAGCAGAATTAACAATGCGGTATTTATTCACCAGTGTGTTTAACTCCCAAAGAAGGTTAAAAAAAAAAAAAAAAAAAGCTTAAGATTGTGTTTTAATTATACACTTGGTTATAAAACTAAACTTGACAGAGTCCTATAACAGTAAGTCTATAAACAAAGAGTCTACTGAGTATAATGAACCCTTTTTTGGCTGCAACCAGCCAGGAGTGAAATTGCAAAGAGAATATGCATGGCACATAATGCAATAATAAGGGCACTATATGTGTTCCTAGCCTACTAAACAGCTTCCAGAAAATACTGCTGCTATTGTATACTGCACTTGCTCTTAACTTCATTGTTTTCTTAATATTTTACATTTTTAAAGAACCACAGAGCAATAGGGAAGTACTCCAGCAAATCACTTACCCAAACAGAGTGGTCTGTGCTTACAAACTTCACTGATAACTGCTTGCAGATTGGTAGCTATCTGGTCACTTTGCATATCCAGCTGAAAGAAAAGGATATATAACATTAATAATGTGAAAGTGAGAAGATAATGCAACTCTTGGTAACTATACCAGTATTTATTTTAGACAGTGTTTTCCTGAGGCAGAATACACCATCCCTGATCCCTGTCTCCAAGGATTTAGTGATACTTCCTCTTAAAGTTTTTTTGTTTTTTTTGTTTTTGTTTTTAAAGATTTTATTTATTTATGATAGAGAAAGAGAGAGAGAGAGAGAGAGAGAGAGAGAGAGGCAGAGACACAGGCAGAGGGAGAAACAGGCTCCATGCCAGGAGCCTGACGCAGGACTCGATCCCGGGACTCCAGGATCGCGCCCTGGGCCAAAGGCAGGCGCCAAACCGCTGAGCCACCCAGGGATCCCCTTAAAGTTTTTTTGTTGATTTACTTTTACTTTTTGTTTTCTTTTTTAAAGATTTTATTTCTTTGAGAAAGAGAGAGAGCAAGAGTGGGGAAAGGAGGGGTGCAGAGGGACAAGCAGACTCCGCACTGAGAGCAGAGTCCAAAATGAGGCCCAGAGATCATGACCTGAGTAGAAGTCAGACCCTTAACTGATTGAGCCACTCGGGCATCCCCTTTGTTGATTTACGCCAATAAAATGTTTAGAAATTCATGCTTGCAGGAGTACAAAATAAAACTACCACACATTCAAACATACATATATGATACAGAGACATTTTTCAGGATGCTATGGTAACACTCTAAGCAATAACAAATATCTTGCTATTCAACAAAAATTATAGTAAGTACATATATAGTGAACAAGCCCTATTCATAAAACTCCAAAACCTAGCTCACAACTTTGGAATGTTTATCATTCGAATTTAATGCATGTTATTCTTCTAAAATATACCAATTAAAATCAGTTATATTTCATCCCGATGTTTAAAGGATTTTACACTTTGCCAAATGAATCAATTTTTTGAAATTCATGTAAAACTCGTAATAGCATAATGGCAAAAAAAAAAAAAATTACATGGTAAGAGTTCTAGTATGTTTTCTATTTTCTAGTGACTCTGAAACCCCTGTGGAAAATGTGCTGTGTAAGCATGAAGAGAATTCCTCATGAAAAAAAAAAAAAAACTATTCTCATCATCACCATTTATTTTACATTCACTTGGACATGATGCAATACCAAATCCTAAATGAGAAGGTTTGGATGTTATTGGAGGCATTTTCACGTTATGCCAATCCATAAGTTAAACTGTGAGAGGAAAAAAATAATATCAAGCAATGCTTAATTCACCTTCTTAAGTCCACAGAACTCTGTATGTTCTAACCAAGTAGTTCACTGGCAGAAAAGGCACCTTACATTTGCTTTGTTAAAAGGCAAAACAAAAACTAAGATGATCAACATGTGTCTCCCTTTATCCGTACTTCTCCACATTAATCAAATTGTCCTTCTTCCTATTATCAAATGAAGTAACCACCACAGCTCTAATAAGCTCCCTCACTTTTGTTAAAGACCCACTGCTACCTTAAATTTGGGAAAGTAATAAGTACAAGAAAAAGCAAGATGTCCAACGTATGTTTTTACTATTTACTATTAAGTTACGCTCTACACTGTTATATAATATACTGAATATACTAAACTCAACTATACTTCTGTGGACTCGTCCTGCCTACAGTAAGATAAAACAAGATGCTAAACATATGCAACATATGCTTGAGAAACACAAAACAAATACTTCCTCTGCAACTTTCATTATTAGGATAACTTCAATGATTTCATTAAGTTCTGAAATACATAAAAATGTTTTCAAACATAGTTCACATTTTTGTCCAAATTTTAGCACGTCTAATTTTTAGTACTGTGTCCTCTAGTAAATTTTAAAATATTTATGGGCATAATACATCATTTTACCTTTTCTTTTAGATATTACATAAAATTATGAAGAAATCTATATATTTTATGGTTTATGCAGTAACTGTGATTATTTAATTGGCTATTTGTGCTAATTATGGCCCAGTAAAAGTATGCATGTATGAATTTTATCAAAACTTGCATAGGAAATGAATTTGGGCTGATGATAACCTAGAGATAACTAGGAAAGTAACATTCGTAGGCTTCTCTATCTGTATCTCAGTTACTCTGCACTTCTATAGTGCCCTCATGCAATAACATTTTATAGTCTTAAAAAAGTAGGACAGACCATTTTGAGATGATATTATCTGTTAGATTCTCAATATCAGAGCATAAGACTTGGTACAGCAGAAAAGAAAACTGGGATTGGTGAACCCTGAACTATAGTAAGCACCATACTCATACATGTGCCTATGTGTGCATTTGAATATCTAATAGTTACAATCCTACTTACGTTTAGTTAAATGACTGCCCACCACAGGACATGATAGTTATTCCTCATTCTGCAGCAGACATGGTTTCAAGAAAAGACTACTGAATCTTCCTTTCTGCTTAACATCCCTTATTATGTCAGAAATAATTCCCTAAGCAGACTAGATGGAAGACTTACCAAAGATGTTTTTGGGTAGAGGCTCAGTGCATATGTCTCTCTTTGCTTTAACTCTCAGATTTTCCTCTTTCCATGCAATTCCTAACCTTTGTCCTCAATTAGTTTTTACAATTATGAGAAAACTAAAAATCAATGGTTCCTGACCATTTTTTCATCCCTTTGAGATGTAGATGTATGCAAAGCAAACTGTAGTCATGAGTACCTAACACAATGATTCTTTTCTTTCAAGTTTTTATTTAAATTCCATTAGTTAGTACATGGTATAATGCTAGTTTCAGGTGTAGAATTTAGTGATTCATCACTTACGTACAATACCCAGCGCTCATCTCAACAAGTGCACTCCTTAATACCTATCACCCATTTAACTCCTCCCTCCCTCTCTAGCAACCTACAATTTATTCTCTATAGTTGAGAGTCTGTAGGGGTATTTGGGTGGCACAGTTAGTTAAGCATCCAACTCTTTGTTTCAGCTTAGGTTGTGATTTCGGGGTCGTATGATTGAGCCCAGAGTTGGGCTCCAAGCTCAGCAGGAGTCTGCTTGAGATTTTCTCTCCCTCTCTCTTTGCCCCTCCCATTCATGTTCTCTCTTGCTCTCTCAAATAAATCTTTTCTTTTTTAAAAAGTCTTTTCTCTTCCCCCCCCTACATTCATGTTTGTTTCTTAAATTTCATATCAGTGAAATCATACAGTATGTGTTTTTCTCTGATTTATTTCACTTAGTATACTACAACTCTTTAGCTCCAGGACTCCCTTCCTCGGCAGCACCCACAATCTGTTTCTCCCCCAAACCACATCTTGGCACTTCCCTACCTTCCTGGAGGTGACCTCTTCTCTCTCTTTAGCTATGCAGTTTGTTCTATCAGCCCTCAGGTTGATTTCTTGAGTATTCAGAATGATTTGATAGTTATCTAGCTGTGTTCAAGGGACAAGGAAAGTCTAGGGTCCTCCTACTACACCACCATTTTAGTACCCCCCACCAAGGCAATGATTCTTAAATTTTGGGAGGTTATCAAATCTCACTCCAGAAAACTGCACACAGGCACACACAAAAATTAGTCTATGCTTTCAGGGTCTTCATGGATTCTCTGATTAAAAGAAAGGGGAAGGGAGAAGAAAGGCTTCTGAGGAAAGTGTGTCTGTTAAAAGGGATCTATAATCACACTTTGAGAACTGCTAGAAAAAAAGGTGAGTCTCCAAATATTTTGGAGGACTAAGGACTATAGTGTAGGAAAAGTATTTGACTTAATTTTTTACCTTTTACAGGGGATAAAACTAAAGCAAACAAGTGAAGTATGTACACATAATTTTTTAACAATCACACGTTCCTTTTCCTAAGGTTGTCAGGTGCTGTCACTGTAAATGTTCTGACAGCCCGTAGATGATCATCTCTAACTGAAAACCGTGGAGAGGACTGCTCCTTTGGAAAGCACCTGTTGGAACATCTGACCTCCAAAATTTCTTCCAAACACAATATTCTAAGATTAAATACAGCATGGCCTAGCATACAGTTTCTGCAGACGGGCCAGTGGTCTTAATCACCATGACTCCTAACAGTCTCAACCAAGAAAAGGAAAATAATGTGTGTCTCCTATATACATTAAGGAAAATAATAATAACTGATTGAGCATCTCGACTTTTTTTTCAAATATTTTATTTTTTTTTATTTATTCATGAGAGGCACAGAGAGAGAGAGAGAGAGAGAGAGAGAGAGAGAGAGGGGCAGAGACACAGGCAGAGAGAGAGGCAGGCTCCATGCAGGAGGCCCGATGTGGGACTTGATCCCGGGACTCCAGGACCATGCCCTGGGCCAAAGGCAGGCACTAAACCGCTGAGCCATCCAGGGATCCCCCTGAGCATCTCGATTTATTGAGTAAATCCTCTGCACCAAGCTCTATTCTTAGCACTACATAAATATTCTCATTCATTTCTCCCAAGAATCCTTTGAGATAGGAACTACTGCAATTCCTCTTTTACCATTAGAAACTAAGACTTGGAAAACTTTGTAACTTATCCAAGGGTACATACCCCTGGTAAGGAGTGGCTCAACAACTATAGTGAGCTCTAAAGGCATAGAAATCTTAATCTGAAGTCAACTTACACTACTTACTAGCTTGTAACGTGGGACACAGTTTTTAAGTGTTGGTAGCTCTTATGAAAAATAAATTATCAGTTGCCTGGAAAACACAAAAGAGTTTGTTATAGAGCAGGAAAAGAAGAAACTAAGTGAAATACTTAATGGAAAAAATTATGCATTTAAGTGGGAAAAAATATGAATTTTTCTCTCTGTCAAATGAATCCTTTACCACCTGCCAACTTTTGGTAGAGATGGTAACACCATATAATTCAGAAACCCTTTCTCATCTCCCACTCTATCCATCATCAGGTTGGGAACTTGGAGCAAAAAATGAATAAGATACAAACCTTACTCTCAAGGAACTTACAATCAGGTAACTAAAACACATCATCATATATGCCACTCTATGTGAACAATGTAGTGTAAGGGCACAGAGGAA